CTATTTGCTTGAGTTGTGTCTATATTCAGATGTCTTCTAATGTTTAACTGTTAAAYAAAGAAACAATACTCTAGGGAATGACACATGGTCTGAAATGGGAAAACAGTGGATTGAGTCTATTGATAAAAGGGACAAATAAACAGGGCAGATCAGGCAGGGGGGATTGGGATTGAAGCAAKGGTGAGTTAGTGGTTCAGGTAGTACTCCTGTCTCTCACCCCCCTGACTCTGGCCTCTGCATGTGACTAGAGTTGCTTTGCTCTTTTTTGCAATTGGAGGATTTTTTGTGGGTTCTCCACAAGATCTAACCACCTAAATTACGATTCAATCAATGAATTAGCCATACTATGCTCTGATTCATAATCCCAGAGGTTGTTTCAGATATCAATAAAATTTGAAGGTTTTTAAAGGGTTAAAGGGTGGCTAGTCCCACTGAGGAATTAAAAAAGAATAAAAGTAATGTAGTAACTAAAGAGTAAGTTATATACTGGATTTCCAGGTAACAGCCACACTCTTGAAATCATCCAGAATATACCAATGCATTAGGACAAGAAATTGAGAATGAAATGTGCACACCTGTTATGAAGAAGGGATATCAGCAACTGCTTCTGCTGAATTCCAGACTGAATAGGATKGAAACTTTCTATGTAATTGTGAGAAGTGGGRCAAGCCAGCTCAGCAGGTCAGCCATTTTATTAAMCAAAATTATWAGTGTTMMTCATTTSTGTGCTGATTTGTCACAAGCAAAACACGGCTGAGGGTAATGATTTTGGCCGTAAAACTTGCAGCATGTGTATTACCTTGGCCAGCCAGGGACTGTGAGTGGAAAATGTATGGTACTGATTTATGATGTAGGCATCCCTCTTGGCTTTGGAGTTTYTCATTTCCTTCTTTGATAGGCTACCTGTGGGGTGTTGATTTAAATATGTGGACAARACCCACCCTCTCCCCACTCCTTCATCACACAGGGATCCCAATCACAAGAGAAAGTAAAAAAAAGGAATACGTATGTAGAGGATAGTTGGCCAAAACTTTGAAACCTCTTCCCATTATGTTTATGTAAATTATCTGATGTTGGAGGGAGAAGGAGTGATTCTATGTTATATATTAACCAGTACAAAAGAAATATCAAACATATTTACAATACTGGCATTTTTCGTTGTTGGGTAGTAAAGAGCGTTGATAGAGGAAGGAGAGWTATTGTTCATTCTCAATTAATAAATTTATGAATAAATCTATATACCCTGTACTTTTCATTAAACAATCATCATTTAGTAATCATCATGTAGAATTTTTAAAAATAATGCTAATAGTTTTTAATGTATTTAAATTTCATTTGGTAAGATTGACAAATAATAATTAGGAAAAAAATGATCATTTTTGTTTCCATTTGTTTTTTGTTTTGTTTTTTTGTTTTTTGTTTTGTGGTCTAGTAAGAATTATATAAACAGATGATATTTATTAAACAATCTTTCATTACATATTAATGTTAAAATTGCCACATTGCAATATTTTTCATACATAYTTTTTCATGTGCGGGCTTCCTGTTGCTACTAGTCTTACTGATTCCACAGGAAGCCAAATAACAATAAAGCCTAGCCTACRTAGAAAAAATAATTCAGACGTTCGYGAGTGCTATCGTAGGCATTTCTTCATTTTCTTTGCTTTTTTCTGATGCTGTTGTAGGCATTTCATCGTTTTCTTTGCTTACTTCTGAAGCAGTAGGCATTTCTTCATTTTCTTTGCTTTTTTCTGAAGCAGTACGCATTTCTTCATTTTCTTTGCTTATTCCTGATGCTATTGTAGGCAATTCTTCAGTTTCATTGCTAATTTCTGATGCTATCGATAAGTTTGGCAGATGCTGTGGTCCAGGTTCTGAATCTCGACAAACTCCTAGGAGTAGCATACCATTTGACTTCTCGTTTCTAACGTGATCCGGTTTGTATTGAACGGGAACCCTGTGTCTTAACGTCCCGTTGTACGACACATCCACCAATCGCTTGCTTTCATTTATACCCCTGATCAGAAGCCTCACCATCACGCTGCATTCCTTRACCCTACACGTGCCAATCGCCTTAAAAAATGGCGCCATTCTTTTTCTAGAATGTTCTGTCTTTAGGCGATTGTAATGAAATGCAAATGAGCAATACGGATTAGACTCTCTTAGGTGGTTAGATAGGATGTGTGCCCACGGGCCAGTCAGTAGTCTTCCCCCAGAGGGCATTTTTCGGGGTGTTACTAAGCCCCATTCTTCATCTGTAATAACAAAACTTGCCGTTTTGGTTTCTAGTTCCGTTTCGAAGTAGTCGCTAGTAGGGATTACTGCCTCGCCTTGAACGTCCGCAGTGAAAGCGGGTAYGGGTTCAGTCGGCGAACTTTCCTTAACCAGAACAAAAAAGAAGAACGGTTTATAAGTTAGATTTTGCAAATAACAAGAGCTCAAGCATCCGACACAATTGGTTTTCTCTAGCAGTGGACGCAAGTGCAATATTAGCTGTTCTGAGGTTGAGGAAACTAATGAGACGTTTCTAATGAGGAAATTAATTAAGGATAACACACACACCAAAATGGAAGCACGGGTGGCGTAACAGTGAGAGCGCTCGCCTCTCACCACTGCGACCCTGGTTCGATTCCCGCTGTTCTCGTTGTCTTACGTGAGTAGTAGAGTTGTTTGTTGGTTCTCTCCTGCGCTTCGAGGGTTTTCCGGGTTCTTCAGTTTTCTTCCCTCCGCAAAAATCAACTTCTAAATTCCAATTGGAATCCAGTTGAAGAAGAGCCACTCTGTGGAATCTCCTGTTAATCCCATTATTTTATATTATTTAAAATGGAACATGTCCGAACAGTCACCGTTCAGTTTAGAACAGACCTCTACCAACAACTAGAAGCACGTTGGAAAACTTTTTTTTTTGTCTTTTTTTTGTAGTTGCCTGCTTGTTTGTTGAACTTGCTTTCTGGTTTGTTTGCTCGTTTGTTTACTAGTTTGTTTGTTTGCTTGTTTGTTTGCTTGCTTGCTTGCTTGCTTGCTTGCTTGCTTGCTTGCTTATTTATTTATTTACCGGGTTTGTTTGTTTGTTTGCTTGCTTGTCGTTTGCTTGTTTGTTTAACCGTTGTCTGCTTTTCTTTCTTAATCCTCGTTTAACCGTCTCGCGCGAACATCCGCGCACAATGSATAACAAGCAGCATTCTTTTCCTTCACATACAAACCTTATTATTATTATTGTTCTTCTCCTCCTCGGTAGATGCGTCTGATTTTTCGGTTTCCAGTCTAACCTCGATACCATCACCACAGGAAGTTACAGTAATACGCTGTTACAAATAAAGATATGCGGCAAATCTCAACACAAGCAAAAAGTCAAAGGAACTTCTTTAGGTCTTATGCAGTGACTAAGCGTATACAAAGGGTCAGAGACTAAAAATCCCCGAGATATTAATGTAGAATTTGGGAAGGAGTTCTGTTTATGGGGCAAAGAAATATCAGTAGCATTTTTTTGTGGATTTTACACGGGGCCACAAAAAAGGAGAGATCTTAAAAACGAAGGACTTGTGACTTGAAGCTCACATTTCTTCGAAAGCGATAGCTTCTAATAAAGCCAGTATTAAAGAGTGTACGAGTTTCGTATTGAGAATTTAATCTTCTAATTTTCAACTTTCGTTCTTCTATAGTTTAGATGAGCTAATAAATGCTTACGTGTTTTAAATCGAGAACCAAAAGATTCTAGTATAAGAAATAACCTTCAAATGGTTTTCAAATTTAGGAGTAATTTTACAAAAGCGACAGCTACAGTAGTTAATGATTAGGTGTTTAACATCGCAAATTCGATTCTAATTTTGGACTTTGACAAAAACTCAAATTAAGATATAATCTTCACATGATGTTCAAATTTTGGCATGATGAAGACAGCTGAATTAATAATTCATATTTTGGAGTCGAATCCGAACTAATTCAATACCAAATTCAGTGATGAGGCTACGAAAACGAAAGGTTATTTACCGAGAAGGAATTAATCAGAATGAACTTGCAACAACAAATCTTGACATCATCTAGTATCAGATTCCATGCTATTTAAGTTTGCATGGACTGTATCATCATGCAAAGATAGGATACCTAGGGACTTAGTTTTACAGGAATCATCAGGAAAATTAGTGCTCATTCATGAATATTCATCGTCATTTAGGTGTTTTGGTTTTTCCCCCGATATTTTTTGTGCAGTGATATGGCTTTTAATACCTCAGGCTATGGAACTACAAGTATATACATACCAACCTTGGGGGCAGGGTATAAAGCAGTCCTGTCCAGTGATCCAGAAGATGAAGCCATGTGACTACCACTCTCAATTCAATTCTATATAGCGAAGAAACTCTTTGATCGTAAAAACGAACTTTACTTCTAATCCGAAAGTAAGTAAACTCTGATACGAGAGCAGTCGAATTCGAAAACGCGAATACGAAAGCTGCCTGATTGGAGATTCGTGGCAAGGTCGCAAGAGGTCAAGTTAGAGAATATTGAATAACAAGGGAAAATACAAACGATTGGTTAGAAGTGCTTGGTAAGATAGCAAATCTGTCAATCAAAGAGTTAGAGTATCATATGACGGAAGGAAAACCGAAAGCTGTAGGAGTTCACTGTGGAAGTCTTGTTTCCTGTTCAAGCTACATGTCATACTATAGGCATACTGTATTGAAATATTCAGATATTGTTAGTGTTGTTGTGATACTTTTCAAAATGTACGTATTTGTTATCTTTTTACTTCAATCACGATGCACATATAGACTATGCTCTACCTAGTTTCTTTCGTGACGTGCTGCTAAACGCTGGAAGGTCTTACCGTACTAAATGTGGCTTCCAAGGGTGGCTTCCAAGGGAGCTAAATCTAACTAAGCTGAAGCGGATCTAATCTGGACAGCACTTGAAAATTTAGCTCAAAATATCGCCATACAAATTTAAGTCTTAGTCTAATTGGCAAGGCCAAATCAATAGTCCAAAAAAAAAAATTGATAAGGGTGCCGGTGGATACCGGTAAATACCCCCCCCCCCCCCCTCCATTAAAATGCTCGCTTTTGGGTGTCTATTTCTATACACAAGAACGTTGTGTTGTTTATACGTGCAAAGAGGTAGCACATGCATTACTGTGGTTCGACTTTGAAGTTTCAAAGGCGATAGGGCATAGTTAGTAGACGGGGACCCTCTCTACTAACTAYGGATAGGTGGACCAAAATCCTGAATTTCTCTTTAATACTCCACTTTCAGTTTGGTTTCTCAATATGCATAGTAAACAAGCTAGTTTCCCGCTCTTTGTCGTTTCTGTCAAGCCGTGCCCATTTCAACTAAAAGTTAACGTACTCGTCTCTGCACATGTACATTTTATTATTTTAAATTTTTTTGTAAAAACTAAACAATTACATGCTTTATAGTAAAGCTATAAAMCTGGTTGAACAGCGTGTTACATTAGGACTGAAACTTGGTTACTTTAAATTTTCTGCGTCATTGAAGTCTTCTAGGTGTCTGGAAACCACGGCGAGTATCGGAGTGATTTCTCAGTAATACTCCTCGTCGTAATACTCCTCGTCGCCGAAACTGAAACAAATCAGTAAATTAGGRGATTTGAAAAATGATGCTCCGCAAACCTTTTCTATCTGTCCTTTGAACTATAAGCTATTCTCTTTGTTGCGAAGAGTAGAAAGACTTATTCGTGCAGGAAGGAAAATCTTATTTCGCGCGAACAAGACGGATAACACTTGCTCTGCTCATTCGCCACGCCTTTGCGCATTCTCGTACATTCCAGACTATACTCCGGATTTTTGGTCAGCGGGTTGGCTGCAAAGCAGGAAAACATCAGAGGATTATGGGAACGAGATTGGCCGTTGTATGCAACAAGATTTTAGATATTTGTCACAAGCAGAAGTTTTTCCTGCGACAAATCAAGTAAATTGAGAAGCCCAACCCAATAYTGACCAGCGGTAAATAAATTTCATTGGCTGTAAGCATCACGTGACTACCAGCAATGTCGCAGGTCGTGTCAGTCATACGATGAAGGCATTTTATTCAACGTTTCAGAGATGAATTGAAGAAGACCCTGCGCAAAGAAGACCATAAGACCCCGCCAGCGCGCAACAGTTGTACTGTTTTCTCTGTCTTAACTTGCAAGAAATTGCGTGACAGCTACAATGCGCCTTCTCTCCCTTTTTACCGCAGATAGAGTTATTACAGTATCTACTTACACTGAATTGCATCGACCACAGGTCTTAGGGCAATATTTTTTCATGAATTGGCCATTGGGAGATTCATAGTTACAAAAATGTTTGAATTCCTTGCAGGTGTGAGGGTACACGTCGAAACACCCTAAAAAGAAACACAAAATATTTGGTACTATTTCGAAAAGAAAAGGAAATAGAGGCAAAAGGAAAGAAAAGAGAACAGAAGAGAAAACAAAATGGCAAATCCTCTCCCCCATGAGGACTCGACATATCTATATGCATTACAAAACTCGGAAAGTTTGAACGTAGCCAAAAAGTGTAGTAATTACAAAAGTTGTCACGCTTTCACGATAAAGTGACTGGATTGCGTTACTTACATTTATTTATTTATTATTTATTAGCTGTATTTAGCTAGTTGAGGGAAAGAACAACAGGAGTCCAATAAGAAAAMGTTCCTCCAAAATATACGTTTTACAAATACTAAATACTAATTAGTACTAATATAGAAGAAACATTAAAAGGAAAATACTGACATATCCATCCAATTTAAACTACGAAGCACGTGAGATTGTAAGAGCGGCATTTAGAACAGTATGTCAGTCTTCCAGGTTCTAGTTCTGCCAACGTAAAATGTCATGTCAAGTTTGGAAAAGTAATGGCTGTAAAGAAGAAGTTTGAAAGTTTTTTCGTAGAAGGGCAGTTTTTGATTGACGACGCAAAGCATTTCATGGAAATACTATGCTGTTGAAAAAAGAGTTGCACACCCTTCTCTTTAGTTTGGTCCTTCGGCACAATGCTGTTGTCCCAACAATCAATAGCCGACGGTATCGATGGCATGCTATAACCATCATATATCAGATCACATTCGTATAAATTAACTATACTGAAATGATTACTACTGAGTGACTATAAAACGTCAAAAAAGACATTTGTTTTTGGTGGAAATAAAGGAAAATTTAATATTAGGGAAAATGTCTGAATTTGAAGTCATCACCTGCTTTTGGACGTCCGRTAACAGAAATAACACAAAATAAGAGGCATAAACCAACTATGAGGAAACGTGTCATCTTTGTTGATTTTTCTTGAACAAGAGTATTGAAGTYTCGATTTTCGCTGTTGTCGATTCTKTCCTAATGTTTCTTAGTTCGTATTCTTAGTGTCGACCGCTTTTTATAGGGAAACTAAGCGACCTCAATTCTCTAAGAAGACAATGGGTTTCAGTAGAGTGTACAACTAACCAACTACAATAAACCCGTATACAATGATTAAACATTTCAGTTTACCTCCTTCAAAATGGTTCGCCAAGGAAGTTCTAGCCGTATTTCAGTTCGTTCAGTAAAGTCATTTATATTTTCTAAGATTTCCGGTAATTGTTAGAGACAAGGACATTAAAGCAAAGCTGACGCTTTAATAGCGCAGCGCACTGATTCTAAAAATAGCTTAAAGATTCGGACAAACATTGCATTCTGTTTAACCGCTACGAGGATTATACGAACCGATTTTATTATTTTTACTTAAAGTTAMAATAATAACCCATGTAAACTAAGATCAACTGCGATCGGCTGTGAAAAGCATCTGCTGAAAGTAAACTTGTAAGTTTGTTTGTCCGAATTTCGCCTTTGTCTTCGTTTTTATGACGTCACGGTTGCGCTGCGCTTACACTCAAGATTACTCKATTCTAGTTGAAAATATATGGACCGCGTAGCACTTATGAAATACATGAAGATATAGAAATATAGATAAGTTATAGTGCTTGGGAACGAGGTTATTCCGGGCGAAAGCCCTTGGAATCAAATTCGRAAAAATTAATTTCCCCAGCGAGGTCGGAAATTAATTTTTCCGAATTTAATTCCAAGGGCTTTACATTTAGAGAAAGCATCAAAGCAAAGCTGACACTTGCTCGCATGTTTCAGTAAAATTTTTGTTTTYTTGTTTTTGATTTGCTAACATTTTCCCTTAAGTCTAGCCAGACTAACATCAAATTAAAGCAAAGGCTGACGCGTGTTCATGCTTCAGGAAAATCGTTTCTATTATTTGGTGACATTTTCCGATAAGTCTAGAGAGATAAAATCAAATTTAAAGCTGACGAGCGGCCGACATTTTATAACTTTTCGCACCCTTAATTCAATATTTTTATTCAATATTTTAAAATATTATTTATCATCATTTTCCCGCGTTAAATCTAGACAGAATAAAGAAAAGCAAAGTCGACGGGCGGTCGGTTTTTTTAATTTTTTCGTATCCTTAATAGGACGTTTGCATGATGGCGTCATTTGACTCCCACTACCAAGATACTTCGCGAATTTTCTTTCTCATTTAAATTTGTATTCCCTCATGAGAATAGTAAGACAATTGGTACTAATTAACTGAACAAAAGAAAGTGTGCAAGGGAGTCTGGTAGTAGAGGTCAATGACGCCATTGTGCAAACGTCCTATTCAGTCTTTTTATTCATGATTTTCAAGAGCGTAGCCATGGGGCCGAGAGGGCCAGCTCCCCCCCCTTCCCCCTCGTGAGCGCGTTCTTTCCGGCTCTAGCCCAATTTACATGGCGCGCCCGTTATCAAGAAGTTTCCCTCTCTTATTTATGCTCTTGATTGTATATAAAGCTAAAAGAACAAATTCAGCACGAGGGTCCAGTTTCTGTTAAACCGGCGTGGGAAATAATATTGCCAACATCATTTTATATAAYTGGCTATCAGTTTTAAAATATTCTTAATTCTGTAACTGAAAAACAAAACACCCTTTTTAAGGAAATTCCATTAACTAACGCATTGAACTGGTTTGTTAAGATCATTGCCTTTATTCCTGACTTTYGCTTGCACAATTCAATATTACATWACAATATTATTAGCTTTTAGAATTAAGATTAATATTTAATTAGTTACAGCCCGTTAATTATTCTTGTGCTCATCAGGTCTTATCAAGAACTGGAACCAATTAGGCTAACAGTGAGCTTTTGTCCACTGAAAAATATCAACAAAATAAAATCATTAAAACAAATAAATCAACTAGGAAAGGGTATATCGGGTTAATAAATAGAAACATCTGGAAACAATGTTGTTGAAAATGCATTGCTGGATGAGCGGATCAGTAAAAAAATAGCATTTTCGGAGTTTACGTTAAACCCGGGGGGGTTTGTACTCCGCCAGGACTTGGGTAGGGGTGTTCCGCTGGGATTCTGAAAGGGGTACCCTGTTTATGACAAAAAACTCAAATTTGTATACCCTGTTTACGACAAAAGATATAACTTATTGCACTGAGTTCCTGTTTCAATTATCATGTCATCTCGCGCATCGTTTTTTTTTTTACGATCATAATAACCAGTTTCGGTCAATACGAAAGTAGAAACCCTGAATATGACAGGAAACTCAGGAAGAACTTGGAACTTGAGTGAAATTGCATACCCTGTTTATGAAAAGAAGCTCGAAAAACTATACCCTGTTCAGCGGATCATCCCCGTATAGTCCATATATGGGRGTACMCCCCCCCCCCCCCGGGAACGGTAAATAAAAGGGTTTTTCAAGGGAAACACTGATGGCTCTAGCATCCCTAGGAACCTCGTTCCACGATCCAACAAGAATCGAGAAATTAATAATTGCGGAGGGGAAAAACCGGAGAACAGAAGAGAATCGATATCAGATTTTGAGGCGGATGCAGAGAGAACCAGACTACCACTACAGAGGGTTTGCCAATTAGTTTCAGAATGTATATGCCCCCCGCCCATCTCCATTCCAATTAATAATAGCCCAATAAGTACTAAGTAACATTACTGTTAAAGTATAACTTTCTACCTGTGCTGCTTTTAGTTTGGATCCAGTTTCATAAACCTCTTCATTGGTACATCCCTCGTGACAGCATTCCTCATGAAGCGTATGCAAGGTATGACGCTTGTTCATCTCTTGGCCTTCGGGGTCAGATTGAAAACTCTTTCCTTCATTTTCACTCAAGATGAAATTCTTGCAAGAAGAAAACATCACTGTGCAAAGGAAATGCATAGTGAAGGCGGTTAGTGATGAGCATTCCTGTCAGGGCCCGTTAACATGTCCGGTCTTTTATCATGAAGGTGTTGTGTGGGGAGATTTCATGCGCAAACTTTTCCATGGCCGACACTTTTAAGCTTTGAATTCCTGGTTAATTACTGGGTTGCCTGTGGCAGCCCAGGCGTAAAATGCCTTCGTTTTTTGTTGTTTTTTTTTGTTTTGTTTTTTGTAGTCTCCTCAGAAATTTTGCATTCTTGCGCAAGAGTACCCATATATGGATTTGAATGACGTGTTCATAGATTCTGGACTCGTAGATTGGCTAAGCAGCTGAGGATGTAATTCCGGGCTTTAGAAGTAATATAGTTGAGTAGGAGTAGTAAAATTTGCCTTGCACGTCTTTCATTAAAATCGAAATTTTGGAGTTCCCGAATTTTTTTGGACATATCAAGGACTATTATGACCGCTGTTTTGTTTGATTGCAGACGCATGCGTCGTAAAAATGACTGAGGACCAATATTTTGTGGGGGGAAGGGGGGGCAGGCCCCCCTAAAAGATTTCGTGTGATGACCACGAAAACTAAGTTTGATAGTTAACCACATTTCTATACCTATGGTGCTCGGCTCGCGCGGGAGCTCCGGTATTAACTATGGCCGTATGAACATTTTTACCTTCATTCATGACAACCATGAACAGGAATACGATGACCAAAGACTTCATTGTGCACTTTCGACTGGAAGACTTTGATTATTTGGCTATAGTTAATTGCAAAATAGATACTATTATTTTATAGTCAATAGAAGGGATTCACTGACGGTTTTTGTGTGTTTGTGCATGACACCAGATTAACTCTGATCATGAGAACATTTCTACTGATTCATTTTGTCCTAGGCCAAAGCTGTCGTGTTAAACACTCTGGCCTCTATTGGAAATATGCCACCAGTATTTAAAAAATGAGTTACCTTGGTGTTTGCTTGAATTGGAAGAGGTCTTATCTGCACAAAGATCAGCAACAGATTGAAGAACTATTCTACGACTTGGTATATTAAAGTGGTTTATGGACAAAAACTAAAATTCGAGTTTTTACTCGTTTTAGATTTTTTTAAACACCGCTAATTGTATTTATTAATTGATTATTAATCGTCTAACTAACGACGAATATTTTCGTGTTCAGGGAGTCAAAAATAAGATTTAAATTTACTTTACTTCAATCGGTCTTCGCCAGATAAAAATACCATTCATATATTGCTAGGTTTGTTGAAGATAAGGCATTTCAAACTATACATGGTCTCAGTCGAGATTTATTGGGGAAAACTAGCGAATCAATAAATCTGAAGGAGATTTTGTTGAGAAAACAAGATTGTGAAAAAAAGTGAAAAAGAAAAAAAAAAAAAAAAGATTGAGTGTTTGCAGTCTACTAATATTCATTTGGCAAGTAATGGATCCTAGGTCCTCAATTATCTTCTGTCTCTGGAATGGGACGTTTGCCCAAGCTCAGACTGGCTGGCACTTCTTTGGCACCTATGGCGATCAATTAGTCACTTAGAGTGCAAACACTAAATCTCGGTGTAATTGATTATTAATCGTTTAAGTGAGGACGAAAATTTTCGTGTTCAGGGAGCGTCAAAGAAAGGTATGATCTTTGCTTACAAATCATTAAACAACCTTTTTGAGCACTCTTTTTTGCTATGTTTTAACAGCGATTTTCATAACTACAATATTAGATTTAAGAACAATATTAAGTCATCCTCGAACAGAAAGTAGGGGCACTTGTCTTTTATTAATATTTACTCAAATGTATGGAACCAACTTAGTAAAGACGTAAGACTTTCCCCCACTCTAGCTTCCTTCAGACGTCAAGTTTTATAGTCTTAAATATTAATGAATTATTTAATCTTCTTATATGTCACATATTATCTACTTTAAAGATAGACACAAAAGAAAAATAAATTAGGGTCTACAAATGTGTATTAGTCTAATATCTATTTCACGGGTTAAATGACTTCACTCTACTGTGAGTAGGGAGGTGTCAATGGCGTTTGTGGGTAGCTGACAACTGGCCAAAAAATATTATAGTAACTGACATATAACCTAAAACGCTTTAAACTAGTTAACTTTTAAGTTTTGCTTACAAATCAGTAAAAAAACTTTTTGAGCACTGTTTTTTTTACCATATTTTAACAGCGATTTTCATAACTACAATATTAG